CTCTATTTCGCCAACAAAAATCATTCCGAATACAGCCACAGCGCTGTTTTGTGTCTCTGAGCAACATGACTGTGTTTCGTTCTTGAATTAATCGACCGTTTAAATGATTCGGTTCAATCACAATGACTCGCTTATTAACAGTGATTTGCTGCCACCTTATGAACTGACCACCACACAGAATATGAAGAATATTAAAAACATTAGGAGTCAGCTGTCTTCAGCAGTCCTTAAGGTACCAGCACAATAACACACTCAGCAAAATATCGCCTAATTATCGTTATCGATAAAATCCCATAAAATATCGAGATATAATTTTTTGTCAATATCGCACACCCCTACGTAACAGAGACGAAAAAGAAGGACAAACAGTTCCAAACACCAAACACACGAGGCACAGTGCTGCCGGACACTACAAGAGCAGCGCCCTCTCCACCCTTTCTGTACAATTTCAGGTACAGACATTGAATAAAGTAATGAAATGTAAAACAGCATTGCATATTTGACTGTATAAATGAAAGATTAATCTTTATTAAAGTTACAAAAGCTATTCAATCAAGAGCAGTGAGTGATTTCTTTGTTGTTGCTGTTTGATTAATATTAAGAAAGTGCTGTCACTTTAAGAGAATGCACTGATGCAGTGCACTGATACTGTACGTTCAGCCGGCTATGTCTGCTATAGGATACGTACCAAGACGGGCATTTTGACATAATTTTTGTGTGAATTTGTCCATTTAAACACAATACGTCAGAGAAAGCTTAATATTTGCACGCGTTCTGAGGTGCGGGGTTGCGCGCTTCGGATGACGAGCTCACGTCCTCTGGCTCTTAAATGTAAATGTTTAAACTGGCAAAGCTTAAACGAGTTTAGTTTAAACACCGATATCAACATGTGCTGTTCAGGTCTCACCTGTGCGCGAAGCCAGAATGCGCATCCATCAACAGAAACATATATTAGCCGAACCCTGTTTGTTTTACGTGTTATTTATAGCAAACCATATTACAGATGCGTTGTCAGATTTAAGTTGAACTGTGGTCCTAGCACGTGCCAAACCGTGTGTGGAGAACCTTATGGTTCGATTTTGTTCCTCGAACCGTTCCAGCCCTAGTAAGAGATCATGAGATACTCAGGTGCAGGGGTTTAAAAGACTTTAAATAGTCTTCAAGTATTGTATAATTCAAGGGACTTCTTTGCATTTATATTCAAAAAAAATATTAATGGTAATTCTGTTTATGTTACAGGAAATAAAAAATATATATATTTAACAGCCCCTTTAATGCGACACTTAAATATAACAAAAATGAACACATGCTTTAGGTTTGATTTTGTAAAAGTAATCATAATACTAACAACAATAATAAAACCATTTGTTTTAATACGAATCACCACTAGGACAGTCCTGGAGTTGAAGAAAATGAATCAGGGTCCTCAAGAGAACAAATACTGGCAGTTCTGTTTGAGGCAGCTCATCAACATCTCAGCTTCTGACTCGCATCTCAAATCCTTTAGCCTCTAAACTACCAGCATGAGCTAAGGCAACCAGCACTATTACTACATTCAACAATCTGACCAAACCTCTAACATTACTTTGTCCATTCTGCAGTTTGTCTTGTAGAGGGGAAGTGTTCCGTTGTGGTTTTACACCGGAAACACGGCTCACGTTGTCTTCAGAAAATGCCAAACCCTTTAACATAGCATATATTATAAAACAGAGAGTTCCGGTCCTTGATTCTGATTGGCTGAGCTGCGTTCGAAGCTGTTGTAAATTACTCTACAAACATACACCTTTGTTTACTTCTGTGTGTTGCTGGGCAACCACTTTGTTGGAACCAAAACCGTTTCTGAGGAACTACATTGTTTGGTGGAAGAATACTGTTTTTATTAATATCATTACACTTTATTTGCTCCGTTTTATTTTGTGAAACCTTACTACGTATATGGAATAACCGTTTTATAAAAGCAATAAGCCCCGTGAAGCTGTGGTTTACAGTGAATTTATAACAGCTAAGGGGGTTTTAGCTAACAACTCCCCTTAGCCGTTATAAATTCACTGTAAACCACAGCTTCTTGGGACTTACTGCTTTAATAAAGCGCATCAGCCCTACAGTGTGTTTCTCTCACCTGGAGCTGCGGTGGGACACGCCGTCCTCGACGCAGCACACGCTGGTCTTCTGGTCACCAACATCCACCACACACGCACTGCTCAGGCCGCTGCCAAACGTCGCACACACCGACTCCTGATGCACCACCACAGCTACAAACCGAACAGGAGATAAAGTTAGGCTGTTACACAGCGTTTGCCACTACTTTTGCACACAGCCCCCACTGTTGTTTTGTCTTTTAAACAATGATTTAGACTCCATATGGCAGGAGTTCACCATCATGTGAATAGAGTAAGGAGAGACGACTGACAAGACGATGGCAAACAATCTGGTATCAAAGCAAAACGCAAAAGGTTATAGTGTTTGTCTTCGTTTGTTTTATTGCTGTTGTGTTTTTATTAAAAAAACAATGGAAACACTTTAGTTTTGGGACCCATTCTCACTATTAACCAGTCGCTTATTAGCATGCATATTACTAGCGTATGGCCTGTTTATTAGTACTTATAAAACACATATTAATGTCTTATTCTGCATGACCATATTTTAGATCCCTTAATCCTTCCCCATACCTAAACGTAGCAACTACCTTACTAACTATTAAAAAGATGCAAATTAAGAGTTTATTGAGGGAAAGGTTGTAGTTTATAGTTCGTTAATAGTGAGTATTGGTGTGAACAAAATAATAATAAACCACAAACTAAGCATCCATTATAAAGTAAAGGAAAAAGCCAAAGATCTTTCATTTATTTGTGTTGCAACAGGGTTATATCACATATACAAAAAATTATATATATATATATATATATATATAATACTGTATATATATAGAATCTAACAAAAACATTGTGTTTTAGTTTAACTTCCTGAAGTTAATGGTGAACACTTTCTCAAGGTTAAGCACATCTTCTTTGACGGACCATTTGTTACAAGAAAAAAGAAAAGAAGAAGGAAAAAAAAAACACATCAATGACTTTATTCTTTTAAAAGTTTTAGACGCT